TCCAGCTTTTCATCCACCGGTACCCACTTCTCCTCAGTATACCGACTGCCCAGCAGGACATTTTCAAAGAATGCATGTACTCACCGTTTCAGATCAGGGAGTGAAAGATAAAACCACACTTGGTAGTCTGTTTCAGCAGTTAGTCATCATCACTCTCTGACAGCCAAGGCTCTTTCTCCAAGGTTAAGTAGCTGTCTTTGGTAGTGGCATCTTCTGCCTCACAGAGCTAGCTGGTTGCCTTGTTAGCAGAGTAAATCTTTGTGTTGAATGCCTCTTGAAGCACTTCTTCTGCTTGCACTTCAGTACTTTCATGCTTTCCAAAGCTGTATACAGAAATAAAATTGCCTCTTTCCTCTAACTCTATTCCTTTGAGTGAGCAAAAACTTGACTAGATATACCTTGGTCTGCAAGTTAGGAAACTGATTACTTCAGTCAAACTCCTATTTTAAGCATTTTTTTATGTTGTTGCTTATGACTTTGTTCAACTGTACTTGATTGAAACTGTGAGCAAACTGATGCTACTTTGAAAATCTGGTTTATAATGTATGCGACTGGAAAAATAAAATTGTCCTTGCCAGAATAAGAAATGGCAATGTTGTGCAATTCTGCTTCAACTAGAGACAAGGATTTTGTTTCAATGCTACAAAATGCTTCAAAGTCTTGCCACTTGATTAAATAATCTGTTGTAAGGCTGCATTGTGTTAACCATGAAGGAAAATTCCTTCAAAATAATCTTTTAAATTACTTAGCTGAGATTTATGCATCTGGTAGAGGGATTTGCAAAAATTTAGTGAAGCAGTTTCATCCTGATGAAGTCTGATGGTATGCAAGTCTGCATTTTAGGAGCCTTACAATGAGGAAAGAAAGCATAGCCACTGTAGAACTCAAATACTCACATGACAATAATTGTTTGCTTAAAAATGCCTCCCAGCAAATGTCTTATCCACAATAAAAATTCTGTATCCTCTGTCCCATTTTATTTTGTCTGTCTCCATAACCTTTTGATCCACCTGTGATGTTTTTCAGCAGTCACATGATAAAATGTCTAGGCTAGATTCCAACAGTGGAATAAAAAGCTGTATTTATTTTTATGGAAGCACTAACAATTCTATTTGGATTGGATTTCTTCATAGCAAAACCAATGAATTATTGAACAGATTGGAGTTGGGTTTGCCAAAGAGTGATTCCTGTCAGATTGCTAATCGTGGCCCAGAATCTACAGCATGGGTGAGCAAAACCATGGCATGTGCAATATTTTCTGTCAGCTTTCCAGGTACTGTCAATAGTGTAATATTAGAAATTTCTAATTGAGCTTAATTGCCTCAATATAACTCAGTTAGTACCAAGGAGTCTTGCTGTGGGAATGAGGTTGCCTATGTCGTCTCTTACACAATGACAGACTATCCTACATTGTAGGGGACTGCCTTTATTACTCACAGAAATCTCTCTGATAAATGAGAGCCAGATTTATATTCTAAGGTCAGATCAGAATTTTAAATGTGCTCTGTACCAATCCATTGGTGGCAAGCTTTTATGAAATCTCAACTACTTCATGTCAGGGGAAGCTTTACTGCATTGAAAATCTAGTCAGAAGAGAAGCATATTTCTCACTGTATCCTAAAAGTGATTCCACAGACTGCTTGGGGACTTTGTCCCAGTTTGAATGAGCCTGGTAAGTATCAATGTAATTAAGAAATAGATAAAGTATTGCCTAAGTTTCATTATTCTAATTGCCTCAAAAAGGCCTTTTCACATGTGATTAGTCTTTGTGTCTAAACCAAGCTTTCCTACTGATGTAAAAACTTGCAGTAAGGAATATTAACCCTGAGACAGAAGTATTTCTCTTTAAGGAGATTTGTAATTGGAGGAAGACAGAGACCAAGCAGTCAAGTGGACAGAAATTGTCATTAAAGGAATAGTCCTTACTCAGCAGAAACCTGGAAGTATCCAGTCTGGGCAGCCCCCTGTTGTATACAACCTTTAATGCCAACAGTTGAGTAAAGGGATGGAATCATTTGCCTCCATATTTCCTGGGAATCCTTGGAAACGCGCAAGACCCTACCATTATAGAAATTGTTGAAACAGAATATATGACAGCTCTGTCTTGCCTCTAGTATGTCTTCCTGTTGTTCATTGCATGAAAACAGAAGGTGATACTGAAAATAGGTTCTTTTCCCCTTTGACTCATGCTGTGACTCTGGAAACCCTAAAGAAATCATAACATATGTGAGCAGATATATAGCTTGAAGGACCCAACTTCTGCCTAGCATTGCTCTGCAAAGTTCAGTTTCAGGAGAGTGGCTTTCAGACTGTCTTTTGTAGTCCTGGGCAGACAGTCACGATGAAGGAATATGGTAAGGGAGAAAAGATGTCTTGAAACCACTTCCAGCTCCTCCTTGAAGCATTCAATGCTCCGAACAGTGGGAAGCAATTATTTCGTAGGGAAGACCCAGCTGTGCAGCCTTTCTTACGGTGTGAACGTTGAACTTCAGAGACAAACGAGCTTGTGTCCCCAGGACTGGCTTGGATTTCAGCATTTTGGTGTGGCGTCTGCATTATCTATGCCGAACTGGGTGGATGCCTGAAAGAACACAGAATTATTTCAGGTGTACAGGTCCTACTTTTAGCCTTTGCCTTCTACTTCACCTACCTATGTGTGCTTTTCTCATTCCATTTTTTGAGGGGTTGCTTACTAAATTATGCCAAATTACATACCGTAGTTCATCGTTTGCTTCACCAGTATCCAAGCAGATAAAATACATTGTTTATCTGTACTGTTCCTCTATAGCTTTGTAAATCAATTCATCACTTGCTTAAAATGCAGCAATGCAGTTAGGAAAATGTTTTCCCAGCCAACTTGTTTGAGGTACTGCCTATAGGCATACACACAGCCTCTGCGTGAGGAATCTGAGGCACATAACCAATGACTTGTTATCTAAATAAAGTTGGAATTGTACCAAAATGCTAAAACAGTGGGAAAGCTTGCACTCTAATTTTGATGTTATCTTGGACCTGTCCTTTGTCTGGAGTAATTAAAAGATTCAGGACCAATGTATTTTGAATAGTGAAATGTGATTAGCTTACGAAGAGCCTGACATGCATGTTAAAAGGGGGGGGGGGGGTGGGTGGTGATGCATATATATATATGTGATTTTTAAAATTTAAATACTAAAAAACATATGAGACAATGTAATGTTGATCGATTTTTTTCACTCACATAATTGCTTTGATAGTGATATTACTTTAGCACACCTAGTTCAGATATAAAATATTATTTGATATGCATGAACAAATTTGACTTTTTTGGAGTGACTCTGTCATTGGTGACTTTTTTGGCTGGCTTATTTAATCAAGCTCAGAATTAATTTTAATCCAGTCTTTCAAAGTGTTACCAATCCTGTGTAGATTTTTATTGTCTTCCAGCTTGATTAACATACACGCCACACAATTCTCCAAGCCATTACAGAGTAATGAATAATATTGGACCCAGAATGAGTCTCCCTGGACACATGTAACAACTCCTCCCAACTCAAAATTGGGCTATTAATAATTGCTTTCTCTATTCAGTCTTTTTAGCAAATTATGTGCCTGTCGTTTTAATGGTGTCATTCTGTACGCATATATCAAGTTTCGAGAACATTGTGTAGACCTGCAACAAATTCCTTACTAAAGTCAAACCTGCACACTTCCTGTGTTAAGTTATACTGGCTCATTATTTAATGTGCCAAGCTCTGCCCCTGCTCAAAGACTGTAAAGTGTAAGCTCCTAAGTGTAAGATCCTAAGGATCCTCTAAGATCCTAATGGTAAGCTGGCTCTTTGCTAATAAGTACAACTTACACAGCTGAATACTTTATTCACGATGTGTAGTTCAGCTTTTTGGTTCTCTTGACTGCCTCACAAATAATAGAGCAGACATCTCTCAATTTCTGTTGCCCTACCTCCAGAAATTCCTGTCCAGTTCTCTTGTGGAAATAATACTGGGTTCCCCTCTGTTACCACACCTCGTTTCTGCTTTGTTATCATGGTAACATTTCCAGTACTTTTCTTTCTTCCCAAAATACGTCATCTCACTATCGTATATCCTGCTTGTGTTTTCTGACTGCTCAAGGTGTCTTTATGCTTGCCACTGAGACACGGAATAGCATGTGCCATGGTTGCCTTCTGATGTGCAGGTGGACGTTCAGCCAAATCGAATCACTGAGAGAATTTAGACCACTTCTTGTTTAAATTCTACTCTTGAGACTAATCTGGTTTTAAGTAACTGCAATCATTCAAACATTTCTGTTTTGTTAATTACCTGTATAAAGATTTGGGAACAAGGTTTGGGGTTTTGGTTCGCCTTCTCCCCACACCAATATATTTATATTCTCTGCTGAACAACAGACTAGGAGCCACACTTATAAGCAAGCTCTTCGAGAGGATGAAAACAGAAAATTAGAGGAAATTAAGCGAGAACAACGGAGGAAGGTAATTGTATATTAACAGTTTGCATATTGTATCATTTTTTGCATGCTGTGAAACCAATTAAATACATTGATTACTTGTAGCCTATGCACAGAGCTTCTCTTTAGCAAAAGTGATTTAGTCATTGTTTTCAAATATTGTGAGAGAGATGAGCCAAGCTGTAAAATTTGAACAGGGACAGGACAATTATCTTCTGGGTTCAAGGCTGTTTGCATCTGGATGACTAGCTCCTGCTCACCTCTCTATCTGAACAATTATTATGCAAAGCATTTTTTGACCATGGTACTGGATTTCATAGGCTAAAAAAAAATTTCCTTTTTTTAGGCAGAAGTAGTCTTACTGAGCTATTCATGACGATCTCAGGCTCTGAATAGTCTCTTTCTAGAGAACTGAGGCACATGTGCCCTGCCTCCCCAAATGGAGATGTGGAACCACTCAGATTTGCTGTTAAGTCTTTAAGCTTCTCCCTTGCTAACCGTCTAAATAGAGTTTTGAATTGCCTAAAAAGCAGGCATGCCATAACTGCAAGTTTCAACTCCATCTTCTGAAACACGTTGGAGGCACTGTAATCCCTGTGGCATGGATTTGCATACCATATCCACATAGAGTTCATCTACACAAGGCGACAGCTCTGTGCGATGTAGTCTGTCTTGGCTCCAGGTCGAACTGTAGAAGTATGAGGGTGGAAGCATTCATTGTCTGCTGATCATTCAAAAACATACTAGTGAATACTAAGCCTCTTGCTATGCTTCTGCTGTTATTAACATCCAAATTAATGTTAAACTACTTCCCCAATAGCAGAAACAATGCAACAAATTCCATGCAGCCAATTTCTACTAGAGCTGGACAAGTGACTCAGCCCCCCTCATGGATATCTTTCTTTAAATCCTGGGGATAATGGTCCTCATTTTGCAGTATTCAAGCAACTGGGATGCTGGAAACAAAAAAACGGGGAAAAAGGCGGCTCTTAATTGCTTTCCCATTAGGTATATGCTTATTCCCAGGAACGATACAGAGGAAAAATCTTTGAAAGCTAGTCCTGATGGATGTAAGTCCTGTAGCTGTTGTATTCTTTACTTTTATTCCTCCACAGAGAAAATAACTACAGATGTGAATTAGTATGCTCCTACTTTATGAATTTGGTTTAAGGAACTCCTGTAGAGCTTTAGACTCTTTACCGATTTCTACAGGTTCCTAAGAAGGTGTTGGCTGCTTCCAAGGCTGCTCTTTCTTGGCACATGGTTCCAAGTGCTCCTTGCCTTCACAGTTGCAGCTACCTATTGCGCAGAGTAATGCACTACTTACAAACTGACTGTAAATAATATGTATTTTAAAGGCTCCAATAATTGCCCTTCGGATATATGTTGGCTCGTTTCTACTTCAAACTAATATTTATTAAAGTAATTGTGAATTTTGTCTTGTGTGTAGCTCCTAGCACAGTGTAGTTATAAAACGTATAGGTATTGTCAGTTGCTGCTTTTTTTTTTTTTTTTCCAGAGCAGGTTTTAGTATGTATTGCTTGGTTTGGAAATTTTCAGTGCGCTTCGAACACCACATCATATACACACAATATATTTCAGAACATTACTCCTGGAGAGGACTCAGCATATTGGAAAGTCAGATACTGGGTTTTAATTTTAAGCTTGAATAGTTATTTAAAACAGTGAAAATTAGGGTTGGCTTTTTTATTTCTTAATCCTGTCTCTTCTTTTAGGGCTAGACAAATATTGATACACAACACATTCTCAGTTATTGATTTTCTTCATACATTTATTGCATAGGTTTTATTTAATGTTCCACATAAATTGATTTAAAAAAAAAAAAAACAACACACTTCAGTTATTGAAGCTTTTATCTGACCACATCATTTTATTTTAGTTCCTATTCTTACTGCTACTCAGTTGCTATGGAAAATATGAAGGATGGGTCTGTTCCTATCCCTTCCCCCTCACCCTGCAAGCCAAATTCTCTTTGCAGAAAAATCTACATCTTCAATTCTTGGGTGCATTGCAGGGAGCCAGAGACAGACAAACAAGTGCACATGCAGAGCACAGTCATACAAGCTGTGTTTCCTTCTCACTCCTGGCTAGAATTACATAAGCAAACTCTCCTCTGAAAAGAATTTCCTTCAATGCTGTTTATATATGTTAATGTTACCTAACATAGGGATGGTAGGCTGCTGCATCACAGAGAGCTTGCACATGATTTCACCACACCAACCCATACCATCTGCCCTTTCCTTACCCTTGGGGGAGCCCCAGGGAGCTGGAGGTGACACACCACGCCACATACCCCTGATCTCATCTTCTCCTCATGCTCCACTGAGCCACGAGGAGAAGGGCATGACCCCTTCGTACCCTATGGGCACAGTGATTGTCCCACCTCCATTGACTGTCCTTGGACCCACAGGGAAATTCAAACCCATGGACTGGGGAAAGGGGAAGCAGGCTGATGTCTGGCATACCCTTTAAATGTATGACTGTAAATATCTGTCTCAATCCTCTAACTTCCCACTTTTTAAGGCACAGACAAAACTCACCCAGTGTAACACTGAACAGAAAAATGAGCTCGGTTTTTAACACAGTGCTGTCACATAAATAAAATGCTGTTGAGATGAGTTCTGGGAATGACTTGTGGATCTAGATGAAGTTAACACCATGTGGAATTAATTGGGTTTGCAACATAGGTATGTTACTTGAAAGTGTTTGTTGGGGTTAAGTTTTATTTTCCTCACTTTTATCATTCGAAGGCTGAATTAATGGATTTTAAACAGAAGGAGGAAGAGGAAGCCAGGACAAGAGCCCATCAAAACGAACAAAGGAGGTAGGATGGAAAAATAGATCTCAGAATTGCAGGCCTTCATGCTTTAGAGGATGATTGCAATGAGTATCCCTAACTTTACCTCTGGTGTAACTTTGCCTTCAAATGAGCCACTAATATCCATCATTACAACTGCTCAGTGTAATGCAGTATGACCCACAGTGCCTTTTTTCACTTTATATATTAAAGCACAGGGTAGCAGCCATTAGTTGTTTCATGGGGAATTACTGGTACAATAGTTTCAAATGAGAAATATGGTTTTAATTTGTTTATTTAATTTTGTTACTTTAGAATGGGCTGCTTTGTCCATGCCACCTTTTGCAACTGACTGTCACTGAAGTTAACAGACAGGTCTAAACATGGGATTAGATATGGATACAGATAGATGCTGGAGTGCAGCAAGGCCTTCTGCAGCTGCATGGCTGCGTGCCCCAGGCTGTGTCCCACTGCTGTGCCCTCTTCTGTGCTCAGCAGTTCTAGTCTTGCACTTCTGCCCCTTAGATGACTTTCCATTATCTTGAGGCACAGCTTTATTCTCAGTTTTGCTTTCTGCTGGTAAAAAGAAACACTAGCCAAGCTCAAAAATAAAAATACCATTTATTTATGTTTTTCTATCATTAGGGAAATATTTTAAAAATTACTTCTATAGGTAACCACTCTCCATAGTGTTTTGATTTCCTTTTTTCCCTAGCAAAGGTATTGAGATAATTACCCATAGAATTTAATGAAGGATTTTTTATTCACTCCATCTCATGTCCCTAGATAGAAATAATCCAGAATCTTGCATTTTACATCATTCTTACAAATAGCATCATAAAACATTAAAATAAAAGTCATGTCTAAACATGTGTGTCATTCCTAAGCATTAAAAAGGGGAAAAAAGAAACAGTTTTCAGAAAGTTTGAAAATATTTAAAACAGATTGAGGAAAAGTGAATTTGTATGTGTGCATGCTTTCCAGACTGATGAAGCAGTATAAGAAAATGCTAGAGTTGATTTCAGA